ATACGAACGAGTAGTATAAGGCTCGTGGTTTGGTCCCAACCCTCCGCCAAAATTTCCTCCATTATTTTCAATTATAGCCCATATAGAGCCTCCCATTCTAATTTCACCTTTATTCCTCGCAAAGCGAACCAACGCTTCTGCTCACGGGAGCCAGATCTCCAGCCCTAGAATTATGGGAGGCAGTTCACACGAGGGAAGGTCGGGGATTGCTTGCAGATCGCCACCTCGTCCGCCTCATCCTGCTCATCTTCCGAGGGTCAAAAGGACACCCCACAAAGCCCCATACCCTCCATTAATCTCTCAAACGCCCTCCCGGACTGCACCCCCGCCGACCCCGGGCCATGCAAACTTGCCTGCCCTGTTGCCAGCTGTCCTTTGGTTTTCTCAGGAAAAACGCCCCATGGATACCTTTGGAGGCATCTTAAGAGCCCCGGGATTAGGAAGCGGACTGATGACGAGAGAGCCGTTTGGGTGCATCTGCATAAGATGGAGCATGACAAGCTAGTAACCGCAGGCAGTATAACCACCCATCTCCATAAACTCATCCCTCGGGTGGTGATAACGAATTTTCTACAGCCACACCGGAACAGCGCAAGCGTGAGGCCAACAAGGTGAGAGCACGCAGGGCGCGGAGGGCCGCTGGATTTGAGCTTCATGCTAGGAACATAGGGATTACGGAGACGGAGTCAGTTGCCCAGAAGGTTGTGATTTGGGAGGGGATGTATGATGCCAAGCAGGGCGGGGATAGTATCAGTGTTAGTATTTCCTATTCGGTACATTTTTTGTGGTTAAAGTGGGATCATTGCTAATTGAGAGTGAAATTGGCTCTAGTACGACGCTTGGGTTCTATTGGATTTTTGTACCGGCCCGTAGGACCTTCCCAAAATTCTTTTGGCGCTCATAATTTTTGCATATCTCCTTACGCGCTTACCGCTAAAAAATATATATAATGTGAAATGGAAATACCTGTCAAAGTTATCGATGTGCCGGTTCTGGTCGTAGTCTGGTTAACTATCGTTTGAAAATTTATACTTCCCACTCTGATATTATTGCCTTATTCACCGGTATATGCTGGTTGTGTTTCTCTTGCCGCACCAGCTACTCGAGTACATCCACCCTGCAGTTGGCCCCTGGTTCCGGCCCTGGATAAAATCGCTGAAATATCCGAGTGCTAGCCGGTGATAGCCGTTTGGTCCCGACGGTTACCTGAGCCGAAGGCGCCCGGCCCAACATTGAGCTTCTACGGTACTGTCATCGGCGCTGTAGAAACCCGGATACCGGTAACCGAGCCGTCTTATATGCTGTCGAGGGATTCCCTACTTTGAAAAGCTCGCGGAAAACATACAAACTATAGGAGATTCCCAGCCCCCTAAGAGACATAAAGGGGAGAAAACAACACTAGACCCTACGGAGAAGGCTACTCCAACTGCATCGTGCGCGGGTCGGATATTCGAGCTCCTGGGGTATCGCTATCGTAAATTATCGTACTCAATCCGCTATCCAACCTGTTTTGTGCGATAGCAAAATGCACAAGGCAAGCAATCACGTGAGCAAACGCTGGAGACCCCGGATAGACACTGAGTATCGCTTCCACAAAAGGTGTTACTGCAAGTCTTTCCCTGTTCCAAAACTCTACCCTTATTAAGGTGCAACTTGAAGGGAGGTGAGTATTGTAATAAGGAATTTATTGTACGCGGGTTACAATTCGTATTGTGCTCGAACGAACTACTTCCCGACAGATATTTCCTCTATTACGGATGCTACATACCAGTATTTCCATACCCCTGTTCAGGTTTAAGGTTGCTTGCATTGGTTGCATGTTCAGCCTCACAAAGCACCAAAGCTGGAATTTTGATAGACTGGCGGTCCATATTAGTAGTGACTTAGAAGTTCCCCATACTTTTCACAAACTTTATCGTGGACTTTTACCGAGATATATCTCCCTGCACAGCACATCCGGGTTGTTGGTAAACATTACGCAAATTAGCTGTTTTCTGTTGTTTACTCAAGCTGACCGTTTTAGCCTTCGCGATTGACTACCGGGGTAAAACATGCTAGAAGGTAGCACGTGTGAGCAACAGCTTATCGCCCGTGATTCCAGTGCTTCAAGCGCTTTTGTGTCCGCCTACAGTCCAACACCTAGTGTTCCCCATGAGCCTGCTCGAGTCGAGCCCCGCCACTGGCTCGCGCTGGCTCGGCTTGATAGGAACTAGACTCGAGCCGCTCGAGATTTAAGGCAGGGCTCGAGCCCGGTTTCGTTAGTGATCACGTAGTATCACTCGTTAAAATGACCTACTGGGGAACCGTAGAGTGTACCTAAGTAGAGGATATGTTCCGAATATTAAGTGGGTATAAAAAAACTCTAAATTCTACTACGAACATATCGGTTTTCCGCTTAGCCCGCCTCCTAGTTTGTGTAAATGAATCGAAGACTGTATGTTTATGGAAGGTATAATTGACTTGCTCTACTTAGGAGTCCTCATTGCCTTCTAACATACCAGATCTTCAGCCTCCCATGAGTCCAGGCAAATTTAGGAGTAAAGTGGGATCCGTACTTGGCTCCGCACTCCGAGTTAGGCTAAGAAAAAATGTGTGTAAACGGCTTCCGGGGTATCGGAAAATCTAAAATTATTAGATTTCTTTCTCCCTGGCCTACTAGGACCTCCACGATATATACAAGGTAATATTAGAGATACTAGTCTTCCTCTCTTTCCCGTGCCGATTTGAAATGAAAAATAAATCGTTTGAATAAGCTTGAGCTTAGCTCGAGTACAGCTCGAGCCAAAGTTTTGATAAGCTCGAGTCTATTGTAAATCACCGGTACCCACAGTAATAGTCCTATCGTTATCACCCCCACAATTGCGGGGTATTGGAGATCTCTCCGGAGCTAGAACTGTTTTCCTTTGTAATGCTTATGAGTTGTTCATTTGTCAGTGATTCAGAAGGTTCTGGAGCTTCTACAAAAAGGCTTATGTACTAGGAAGCACGGTTGGGAGACAAGGAAACTTGTAGCATGTGGGGATTGGAGGACATAGGATTGGTTGACAGGAGCGGGGTAAAAAGAAGTTGGGAGAAGTCCAACGAAACGTTAAGAAGAGGGGTAAAAGCGGGGTCACCTGGGTTATGCTCAGAGACTGGAAGAAATTCTCCATTGTTATCAGTGTATATAAGAGCGTATGGTGACCGGAGAAGAAGAAAAAGAACAAGGAAGACATTGTTAGGAAACCCGGAATACGAAATATTGACACCAGCGAAAAAAGAGACTCCCGGTACCCAGAACGAGAAACGATCGGGTACAAATCACAAAAGAGTCGGCTCTGCTCTGGGCATATGTCTTCTCGCGAACCTTGAGCCAAAAGCTTGAGCCGAGCCTCTGAGCCTCTCGGCTCGTGGGGAACACTAGTTTTTACGGAGCCGGAGGAGGATAGTGAGAAAAGCAAGCTAAAGGAATTGAGCTTATCTGTCAAAAGTCAAGAGCAAGGAGAGAGAACTGAGAAAAGGGAACGGTGTGAATGGGTGAGAAGCTAATGAAGGATACCGATTGATTGTCAGAAGGGTTGTTCAACCAGAAAGAAGAAAAACAAAAGAAGCGAAAAGCAAACATGGGGCGCAGACCCAGGTGCCAGGTATCAGAGGTACATAAAGAGTGTCGTGTATCTATGAATCCCCGCAATGCCTGTACGTATCCGTTCTCGTATGTTCCACATATCAATTCACATACTAAACGAGTGATATCAAGTGTTCCAATCTGAGCTAGCATGTCACTAAACCCACCCCTCCCCAACCTACCTACCAACCCCTGATCGATATTATAATATGTAATACAGAACACATATCCCTGTTCTATAATGCGCACGTCCGCAAATTCGGTTCTGGACTTGCCGGGACGGCGGGGAGATATACCCGGAATTGTCAACAACATGGTGGTCAAGTATCGCTTCAGAAACTGGAAAATTGTGTCCCATTCTAAACGTTCTGAGCGCCTGATCGATTGCCGGGGAGGGAAGGTGTGCCTGCACCCACGTACAGTATTATTATAACATCTCTAGCCTGGATCATCACGGTCAAGAAATGGGTCCTAACTCGGTTTGGTCTGCTGTAATTCTACGGCACCGCAGGTCCCAGCTAGCCATCTTGTATCATACCATCGATGACCCGGATATGCTGCGGGGATGGCAATATGTGTAAACTTAGTGCTCCCATGGGCCACGAATATTCCCGTTCCTCTAAATAGTTTACCGGTAACAAAGACAAGGCTGGTCTACCGAGCCATCCCCGTAAACCCCGTTAGCCCCAAAGAAATCCACATCACTGCCTAACAATCCGGGGGTCTACTTTTCTTCTCAACCCCGACAGGAGCATAGGATATTTCTCCCCCATCCCGGATAGGCGATGAAACACCCGGATCTTTCCGGTAGGTAACTGTCTCGATAGATACCGCCTGTAGACTGCCCGTTGTTTAAGTTCAGGAAACTAATTCATAAGTGCAAAAGGAATTATCATTGCATATTTCATTTAAATATACCTGCTACTAGAAACGGGAAAATGGGAGCTATTATAACAGGCCTATCACCTCAATCCAGCTTTTATCTGCCTTTTCTGATAAACCGGTAACTGGCCGCTCTTCTGCAGCCCTGATTGCGCACACAGGCCCTCCTTCTGCCCGCTCTGGTCAATTCTAGTACATACAGAGCAGGTGAATCTCTTTCCGGATTTGTATCCCAAAGCCTCCAATCTGTCCCGGTCATTTCGATGGAGCGGAGCCCAAACATACGTCGAATTCCGGGGATCTGGAGCGAGGCGTGGGTTGCGCAGCGGATCGTCCGCGATGGTGTGGCGATGGATACGAGGGGTTGCAAGGGAATGAGAAGGGAGGATGAATGAAGGGGCCCATTCAGCCATGGGTAATGTCCTCCTAGGCTTCCGTTTGTAGGGGCAGAGTTGGTGGTAGTGGTTGGGGGCCGGTGGATTTTGCGTTGAGGAGTATGTGCAAGGTGGCGATGGCGGTAGTGTATGAAGGATCGGTTGAGGGAATGACAGGCGTGGGGGAACTCCTGTCAGGGCTATTGGATCAATGGCCGGGTGTTAGAGTCTCCAAGGAGGTTGCTGAAGAAAGGTATTTTCAGGGTTTAGGGAGGGGGTGTTAGTGGTTGTATTTGCAGCAGATTCTCCCCAGTGTATGGGCCATGGGGGTCAGGGTTATATTCTTGGGGAGATGGGATGAAGACTTGTTCAGACTCGGTGCAGTCTTATCACAGCAGAGGCTTCTGGAAGGGAATTGTAATGCAGGTAGGCCAGAGGGTTGTTGGCTATGTTCATCGTGAAGTTGAGAGGCATTGGTGGAGCGCTCGTGATCTGAGTGTGAAATTTCAGGGATAGGGCTGAGATTAAAGGTTGCCCATGATGCGCTTCAGAAGGTTCGATTGGGTGCTCGGATCTTGGAATCTCTATTGCTGTTGCTGTTGTTGTCGCTGTGACCGGGTTTGCGGTGCATTATACGAAACCGGTTGCGCGGCGGGTGGATTATTTCCTCCTCGCCAATGTATGGTGTTGTGGTGCGAAATGTTATTGTAGTCGAATAATTATGATCGGAACCACGGATGGAGCTCGATCATGTCTCAATCGATCGCCCTTAAGACGTCTCGCAAGCTGGGGCATTCTGGCTATCTCGGGCAAACTAGCTGGGATAGACTTTGCCAAAAGGATGCCCAGTGGCCTATCCACGCGCATCTCCACCTCCCTCCCACCGTAGAATAATACTGACCTCCGCGTCTGTGACGATTGCCGTTCATGTTGGCACTATTTCACCCGAGTCTAGGCGTCGAGATCGGAGAGTATGTGCCTTGAGAAAATCTTGTATCGGCGACCTTCTAGTTTTCAATGGGGTCCGGGGATGGGAAGAGGTGCGGGCAATAAGTTTGCCCTCCCGCGTTCTCTAAGGAAGGCTGGCCACCGATAATTCCATGTTTACTCAACTGGCTTATCCATTGAAGGAGGGATTAGCACACCCACCGGCCGAGCTGAGCCGTGAAGCAGCCACGAAGCAAAAATGGCACAAGCGGAGAAGGGCCCGGTCGATTCCCACCAGCCAATCTCTGAAGTTTATTGTGTGTATTAGCAACTCTCTGTATCGAAACCCTCTATCCGGGGGACCTCGCTCCAACGAACAAACCCCAAGGAGATTTACCCACATGCTCCCGGAACCCTTTTTCGAAACATCTCGCCACCAGGGCCGGGCGCGGGTTTTGGCGTTTGTTTTGGGAGGATGGGGCTGTGTTCCGGTATCGGATATACTCAGAGTGAAGGGGATTTCACCCAGCAGAAATTAGGCGTGGTATAGTGTTACCACGTTCACAATGGGGCTCAGCCTCGCTCCGAGGCTGCTGTGCCCGTACAGTACGAGTATACGGGCAGAGAGGTACAGGTATTTGGGGTCCGGTAACACAAGGCTTTCTACCGGTCATCTCCGCTTCCCTCCCGGAAGGGGGCCCAGATTTTTGACTGTGACAAAGGCACACCAACCATCTATCACTAGAGTTTCCGAATGTGGTTTAGTCTATTATATAAACTCCTGCACCTCCTGACCGAACTCGGCTCCACTTTATGTCGATCGCTACGAGAACATTCCGTTACCCACAAGGCTGTACCCGAGTACTTGCGGGAGGCTAAATTCAGCTCAAACGTAACTTGCGCTGGTGGGTAGGATATCTGGCAGACCCGTGGAGATGATAAGGCAAGCTAAGCAGTACGGTATGGTGGTATCGCCCCGCTATTCCTAGTATCGATCTTACTTCCCCAGAAAAACGCACCTGCCACGCATTAGGCCGTAAGAGAACTAGTACCTGCTCTAAGAAGTAAAGCGGCCGGTAGGGTTTACGAGCACTTTGGTATCATACCCAGTTTCATACCGTGCCAGCACGGTAAGAAAAGAGCCATCCCCTCTTTTTACGTCTAAAACAGCTTTTTTCGAGACACTCTTAATAAATATGGGGAAAAAAACTTTTTTCCTTCCTTAATATTTTTGGACATAGTGTATAGCCCCAGGATTCAGATAGCTAAATATCAGGGTACAATACAGTACTGGAATGCTTCCCGGAAAACCGGACGTCTGAGTTTAGAAGCCGAGGCCTAAATTCACGCTGACAGCAAATTTAAGAGAGTTTTTGCATAGAAACTAAACGGGCCAGCTTCGTTCCTCTTTACCTGTATTTGGTGCGGTAAATAATAAAAATCTGAAAAATCACAACGCTGACCTGCCTATAGGCGGCCGTCATGTTATCAGAGTTTGAGAGACGGAGTTACTTGTGATTTCTGTTGGCAGATCGATAGCCAGGTTTTTGTACGAAAGGCCTGGGGGGGATCTTTTCTTTTGTTCCTATTATGGGTAGTGTTTCGAGTGGCAAGATAATTTTGCTTTTGTCTCTTTTTCTATTTGCGCTACTTTATTCCCAGCGCTTAGGTATGATACAAGAATCTTTTTCGCTTTTTGCGTTTTTTTGCGGCGGCGGCCGGTGCTATATTCCAATTGATATCTCCCCTGATTTTGTTTACTACAATGTGTGTCAGGTGTATTGGCTTGATTTTTGGGGTGCTTTCTGGTCAGCAGCGGCTAAGTCTCTAGGAGTGACATCTCATGACTGACTGTGCATCTAATACGCAGCCAATGA